GTTTACAAAACCAATAGCACTTTTCACGGAAGATGCTCTTTTTGAAGATTCGTTCGATGAAACCTGCTGGGGCTCCTCAGATTGGCATAACGACAGCTTCCATCGAGCAGATTTTTGGCAGCAGGTCAGTAAGTTGTTCTTGAACTGACTTCTCTCCGTCAAATATTGACAGTACGCCAGTTTTGACATAAAATTGTATTATAAAACTTACCTTTAGAAATATCTGTAAGTTTTGTTGTTATATTTTTGTCTGCTTCAAGAACTTTCACCATTTCAGTTATACCAACTTTCTTTGCTTTATGAAAATATTTAGGTTCAGCAAAGACTGCTATTCTATAACATTTTCCATTGTTTGTGTAAAGAACTATTCTGTCAATGAACTTGTATTGTTTGTGTGTGTAAACTTTGTTTTGCTTCAATTCGAAGAGATACTCAAATACGTCCATCTTTTTATTCTAAGTAAAATGTCATTTCCGAAAAATAGAAGCGTAAGTGTTTCAAAAGGTTTAATGGCGGTGGCAGATGTGAAGTTAAATTCACCAACTCAAACAAACAGTCAAAGTGTTGTTGTCAATGTCAAAGAAAGAGATGTTGAAGTGGGGAAACCATACGAAGACCAAGATGGTATAACAATAGTTCCTGTAAAAGAACAACCAACATACCCTGAAGTTAGCAGAGACTTAAGTTCTGTTGCAGATATTCGAAATGACTACCAACAACTTAAAGACAAACTTAAAACTCAGGAGAAGATTTGTCAAGCTTTGGGTATAATGTTAAACTTGGTTGAGCACAACCCTGTAAAAGTGAACTCATATGTCATCGCACCTCATGAAGTTTTGAAAGAACTATTGAAACTTTTGACAGAGGCAGACGATATAAACATCAAAGAAATAGAACCCGACGTTAGTTGCTGTGGTGTTTCATATAATGTCATTGACAAGATATACGTTATGAAAGGAGGTGAAACGTTGAACTTAAAATATAGTTTCCCAGACGTCATAAAAATATTTGACGACCACAACATTTCATTAAAGTTTGTTTGCTAAGTAAATGGCAGAAGACATAGTGGTTTATACTATTACGACTAAAAACCCTGAGTCATATAATTCTATAACAACAAACTTACAAAGTCCTCAAGGACGATATTGTAAACTGACCTTAAACACGATGACGACTAAAGCCTGTTTTGCTCTTTTGACACCAGAAGACTTTGTTGTTGTGAATGGTAAAAATACTTCTTTGAAGATACTTACTCAGATATACCACCAACAGGTTTTGTTGACTTATTTAATACTTTAAGGACGGATGTAACATGTGCTGCAACTAGAGCAGGTTTCATTATGTTTGGATGTCCGACTGAGTTTACTATAAACAATATGAGCTATAATACAAAACTTATATCTGGTTTTTACTACCAACAGTTTCCTATAACAGGAAAAGGTGTCATACAAGGAATGTCTGTTCCATTGACTTTAAGTACACCTATTTTATATATTGTTTCAAACTTAGGTTCAAAGTGCTATTCGAATGTTGACAGAAACTACTATGACCAAAAGATACTCATGCGTATAAACAACACTTTCTCTGCTGGTTTGCCTATTGTTCATTCGAATGCAGAGTTTTCAGCTTTAGTAAACTCAAACACTTTAGCAAACATAAACTTAACCTTAGTTGACGCAAACTTTGTTCCTGTAAAACTTTTATGTCCTATGTATTTGTCAATGACGGCAGAAAGTTTCGAATTGGAAGATGCAACTGGTGAAAGTATTGTACTACAAGAACAACTTCAACAACAAATAGCTCAAGAACAACAAATGCAACAAATGCAACAACAAAGTCAAGAATAAAAAAAATATTTTTTTTTATTTTTATAAAAATGTACAGAATAGATGTTTCAGATTTTTATGACTTCCAAGCCTTCAGAAATATGTGTCCATTTAGAGACTATAACAAAGCAGTCGAGAATTTGAAACGTTTAGTCATTTATGTCGACTCTGCCCAGAATGTTATGTTATGAAAGAATGGGATGTTGTCTTTAACAAACCAAGAGCAACCATAGTTTCAGAACAAGAATGTAACAGAAACTTAAGAAAATAAAAGTCGTACAAGTTGGCATGAAGATGTTAGATGCTTGGGATATCTTATTGTCAAAGTTAGAAGATTTTTCAGTTCGAGGTATAAAGTTTTATACACCTTCTCCAAACTTCTATTCTATCTTCACTGGATATAAATATGAACAAGTAGAATGGAAAGAAAATGTTATAGAAGCTTGGTTAGACCATGTCAAAGAAATTATATGCAATGGAAACGAAAGAGTCTATGAGTATATCTTATGTTGGTTTGCAAACATCTTACAACATCCAAGTGCTAAAAATGAAACTGCTCTCATTATAATTGGAAAACAAGGAACTGGTAAGAACACATTCTTTACAGATATCTTATGCAAACTGTTAGAGGGCTATTCGAACCCGAATATGACAAACATAGAAAACATCTGCGGTAAATTTAACTCTTCAATAGAGAATATGAAACTTATAGTATGTAACGAACTTCAAAGTATAGATACAACAAAAGTTTTAAACTCAGATGCTTTGAAGAGTCTTATAACAGACAAAGTTGGAGTTGTTGAAAGAAAATATAAAGACCAAAGAGTTTGTGAAAATGTTGCAAACTTCGTCATGGTTTCAAACAATGTTGTTCCGATGAAGTTAGAAAGTTCTGACAGAAGATATGTAGTTGTCAGAACGTCAGATTCTCATATGCAAGATACAGAATATTTTGACGCTTTGTCAGAAACTTTGACATCTGACTTTTACAACCACTTGTTCTCATATTTCATGACATTAGATATTTCAAAGTTCAATCCAAGACAAATTCCACATACCGAAGAAAGACAAACATTGTTAGAAGCAAACAAGAGTGTTTATGAACTGTTTATAGATGAGACTAACTTTGAGTGTTTAGATGAAAGGTCTTTGTACGACTCGTATAAACAATATTGCCAAGAGTATGGTTATATGACAGCGTCTAAACGAACATTCTTGGCAAATGTCAAAAATCTTTTAGATGTTCAGAACGGCGTATATACAAAGAAAAATTTTTCTGAGTAAATTTTAAAAAAATATTTTTTTATCCGATAGAAAAGATGGCAAAATTCATCTCAGTAAACAAGTACATGACAGAAGTCAAAGAAGAACTAGACCCATTCGCATATTTGAATGTTTACTTCTACCATTTTGAAAAGTCTACATTTGACAAAGTTTGGAACATCGAACCAGTTAAGTTTGCTATTGTGACTAAAAATGGTGCGAAATTTGAAGACTTAGACATTGACGGTATGTTGACAGTCAAAGAAAATTTTGACAGAAAGTTCTCAAAACTCGAAGAAGGCAAAGCATACAAACTTGTTATACCTTATGAACCAAAGAAAGCAGACGACTATGAATATTATGAGTCTAAGATAGTTGAAGTTCAAGGTAAATTGGGTAAAAAGATTTTAGAGTCTAAACCAGTGTTTGCTCCTAAAGAGGAAGAGAACATTGACATTGACCCAGAAATGTTCTAAAAATAAAATTTTATTTTTACATGTCAAATTTCTTTTTCTCTGGTTCAGGTTCTTTCTTCTCTTCTTCTACTTTCTTTTCTTTCTTTTCTCTCTTCTTCTTCTTCTCTGGTGGAGTTATGTCAAACTTCTCAGAACCATATTTTTGTAAAAGGTCTTTGTCCTTTAATAGCTCTTCTATTCTGTTTTCTATTTCATCTTCAAGAACAGCGCATGTGTCTTCTTTGCATTCTAAACTTTTGTTGGACTTCAGCTTTCCAATCGGCGTCATCTCTGTCAACAAGTCTGTCATTGACAAACTTAAAGACTTCTCTGCTTAATGTTTTATGGTTCTTGTCATATTCCCAGAAACAGAACTTTAGAACAAATTCCCCTTTCTTGTTTACACTATGTAAGATTTTATGGTCTACAGATGTTTTGCTGTCGAAAAGTTTGTCTCGAATATAGATAGCGAAATCGCTAGACATTTTCAAAAGATAAAAATTTTAATTTTTCTAAAAATATGTTAGAAAAAAGTTTGCTGACATTGACAAAAATTTGAGAATGTTTTAAACAAGAACAAGAGGAAGTTGGAAAATGCTCAGATAAAACCCATACATGACAAGTTCTTATTTGCTCAGAATGGTATAACAGGTCTAATTGCACCACCTGGGTCGGGTAAGACTTTCACTTATCTTAAAATGGCTGCACAACAACAAGAACTAGATGAGAAGAACCCATTCTATGAGTTAGTTGTTATTTGTAGTACTTCTGGTCAATTTGACCAAACCGTCAATTCGTTCAAAGATATTATAAAGAAGTCTAAGTTAGTATGTATAAAAGATACTGAGTTGTTAGATTGGATAAAGAAGTACCAAAGAAGAGTTTTGAAGTACAATGCTATAAATGAGTATATAAATTCGAGGTTTAAAGACCCAAATGAGGAAATGCAGAGAATATTAGAGAAGAAACACTTCAGAAACAAACAGAAAGAGATAGAATACATTTCGAAGAAATTGCAATCTTACGATTGGAAGACTTACCCTCATAGATGTCTTCTTATCTTAGATGACTTTGCTTCTCATCCTTTGTTAAAGAATAGAGAACAAGACATGTGTCGAATTCTTAAGAAGCTCAGACACTTTAACATCTCAGTTGTCATTTGTGTACAGACAGCCAAGAGTTTAAGTAAGGATGTAAAGAGAATACTTACTGACATCATACTTTTCCCTGGATTGTCCGAAGACGATTTCATGGAACTTATGAAAGAGTCCATGGCAGGTAAGTTTGACAGACATGAACTATGGGAGAAGTACAAAGTCATACAAGACCCTCATACTTCTTTCAGAATTCACATCTACGCGAACAAAGTTCAAATTGTAAAAAGTCAGCAAAAATAATGTTTATGTTAGAATGTTAGATCTAACATGTTTTCTAACATGTTTTCTAACATAACTATTTACAAGCGTTTTACATGGTATATGTTGCGATGGTTCATGACTCTAAACAATTTCGTGGCTTCAATTTCTTCTTTTAGTACATCGAATGTTTTAACGATACCGAAAGTTTCTTTATACTTCTTCTTGACGTCAGATAGAAGGAAATCGTCAGCTGTTGGATAGTTTTTGTTTAGAAATGTCAACATGTCCATTTTATCTTCTGCTGGTTTCTCTGCTTCTTTCTTTAAATCTGCATAGTCGTTTCGCATACGTTCTATCTCTTTGACGGAGTAGTTATATTTCCTCATTGCTGCTTTACATTTAGAACATTGTGGGTTATTTTTGCGTTATATTCTGAAACCTTACCTGCTAAAACAACTAAGGCGTCAATGGTTTTCTTCATCTCGAACATAGCGGGTTTTATTGTTCGTTCCATACCTTACCCCTACTATCTTTATCTCTTATTTCCCAAACACATTTTGCAACTAATGAAACAAAGTTGTCGTAGGTCTTAAATTCTTCGGATTTGTAAAGGTCAGAGATGTTCTTATATACCATGTCGCAATCTTTGTCCATAACCTTATGGTTGCAATGAAAACCAGGAATTCATAATTTACCTTTCGTATGAACTTCTTTATTTCTACTGAGTCAGTTGCTTTGACTTCTATTTCGTCAAATTCGGGAATGGTTAGTTTTTGTTGTTGGATTTCAGGCAATTTGGGTAAATGGTCAATAATGTCCTGCATTTCATAAAGATACTGTTCATTTGTTTCATCTTTCGCACTACAGTCTAAATTACTTGTTAAAAGTTCTTGCTTTATCTTCTGGATTTTTGTTTCGAAAGTATATGAAGAAGGAATGAAGCTTTTCATCTCTACTAACATTGAAGTTGGGTTCATGACTAACGAGTTTGGTGCTGTTGTTGCTAACATGTTCTTACAATAAAAATAAAAAATATTTTTTTAAAAAAACCAACTTTATTTTTTATTTCGGGAAAATTCATGATTTTCGAGAGTTTTAGACCATGTTAGAAAACGTGTTAGAAAACATGTTAGATCTAACATTCTAACATAAATTATATTTTTGGTGTAAAATTCATGAAAATTCAAATTGTAAAAAGTCAAGCTTGAAAAATGTAAGTGTTTAGTCTTAGTAAGATGGTAGCTTCTTAAAGCAAATACCATTGCTGAGTTTTATGTACGTGAAGAGAAGTACAATGAATTCAATTACGAGTACAATTGCAATGACAACTAAGGCAACTATTTTTGTCTTTTGCCAGCAATGGTTCGGCAGAACTATACTCACTCATGAGAAATGCCAAAACGGTTTAATAGAAAAAGTGTCATTTTTTCATGTCCGAAGACTCGAAGGTGCAACACTTCCAAAATACCGACGAACTCAGAAGAGCAGCATGGCAGTATGTTCTTGACAACTTCTTTGAGTTCTCCAGGTACACCTTGGAAAATGCTGAAGAACTCCGACACAGAGAATTTGGAGAAATTGCACTCCAATACTACCTTGACAAACAAAGGGTAAACAAAGGGTAAAATAAGACTAAAAACTTAACGTTTAAAAAGTGACATTTTTATGAGCTCCGAGTCACCGAGAAAACTTGGTCAGATGTTAGCAGCTTACTTCCCTGAGGAGGATGGAAGCGTTACATACGTAAGGTTCAAAAACAACGAACCTGGAATTGCGTACCAAATTCGCAATTACATGACATGGAAGAGTACGAAAGGTTCCTACAAGAGAAACCAGCTCTAAACAACTCAGAAAAGAAAGAATAAAAAGTTTAACTCGTAATTGTTTATTTTTTTACTTGTATGGGCAAGCTGCAAGAATGAAGTCGACTATCTCGTCTTTGTCTTGACCAGTTGGACTGCTCTTGCGAGTACGTCTGTTTTACGGTCTCCAGCTGGTGTCTGACCTTCGTAATTGCGCATGTTCTTGAGAGCTCCAACTGTAAATGGTTGTAGGATGAAGAGTCTCTCAGACTGCTTGAGGTAGTCTTCACGGTCACGAACCGAATCTGTGGTACGAGTCGAATCGGTCGATTTGAGGGAAGAGACTGAAAGCCTGTCTTCTTCCATTGGGGTAGTAGCATACTCTTTGCGTAAGCGGTTCAGACCTTCCTCGAACTCTTGGTCTCTCTTGGATTGAGATTGGAATTGTGGGGCAGGGTTTTGCATAAACATCCAAGGGTTGGGGAAGTAAGGCATAGGCTGAGGAGGAGGGTAGTTCGGGAAGCCTTGTGGTAGGTAGTAACCTTGAGGTGGAAATTGGTAGTAATTTGGTGGAGGGACTTGCTGGAACTGAGGTTGCTGAGGTGCAGGGGCTGGTGCTTTAGGTTCCTCTGGTTTGGGAATGGGCTCGGTTGGTGGTACGTCGGACATCTGTTTGTGGCTTAACCGTCGGAAGGAAAAACCTTTCCTGTCGGAAGGAAAACTTTCCTGTTGGAAGAAAAAACTTTCCTGTCGGAAGGAAAAATTTCCTGTCGGAAGGAAAAACTTTTTCTGAAGTTCGACCAAAAGTTCTCAATTTTCGAAAATTTGAATGGTTTACGGACGGACAACTGGAAGAGTCCTTCCTGTCGTCGGGAAAATTTTTTTCCAGTTGTCGGGAAAATATTTTCCTGTCGGATGGAAGGACTCGGAATACCAGAAGGATTTGACGAGGCAATTTACCTTATAGAGATAAATGAAGTTGTTAAGCAGTACTTGCGCAGGGTAATGAAGCCCAAGGTCAAGTTCACCACTATTTCTGGAAGGTCTACACTTCAGCTCGAGACTTCGACTGGAATTCCAATTCAAATACAGACGGGACAGCCTACGATGGCATAAAGGACGCCAAAAGAGAAGCTCTTGTTAAGTTCCTAAACAAACGTCCTTGGATAAAAATACCAAACAAGGAGAACCCCCTACCCCATATGAAATTGGCAATTCAGTCTCTCCTTCACTTCTCGGGTCAGCCGTTCTACATAACCTGTGAAGGCGACATCCAACCAGTTCAGTCAACCTTAACGTTTTGAGTAAAAACATTTTTTTTCATTTTTTGAATGAAGCAAGTTAAATTCGTCCACACCAATCTCAATGGACCGATGAAGAGTTTCAAGCTATGGTTGAAGGTGTTGAGAACGACATAGACGGCGAACTTGAAGGAGCTCAAACACAATTGCAACCAAAATTGCACAAGTCAAGGAACAGATAGCTCCACTTAAAGCTACCAAAGCTACTCTTGACCTCATGGATAGTTACCGTTTAGATGTCAAGAGTGGAATAAGACAATTAAAATTAAAACTTCTAAACTACGAAGCTATACTCCAAAAGTTAGCAGAAATGAGAAGACTTTACCAGAGCTACTTACATGTAAGGGACTTACTTCAAGCAGTCCGACCAAAGATGAATTTTCTGACATTGTCCAATTTTGTCCGAAAGTCAGCTCAGATGTTTTGAACTGCTCCCAACATATCCAGAATATGAACGTTTGCCTGAACTCTTCCGCAATCTCAAAAAACGTTTTTTGGTTCTCATGTTCGAAACTTTTATCGGAAGAGACAACAAACGTTCAGAAGAAGAACAAGATATTATTTTAAACTTGTTGTATGACTTAACCGTCATAACAAGCTTTTTGAAGTAAAACCGTCATTCTCAAACCACTTCATTTTTTCGATGTCCGAACAAGCACGAAGCCGAACACAATGGCAGATGTCCTTTCAATGTTGCCAGACAAGCGCCCAGTTCAAATTCAAATTTTGAATTTGAAAGCTCATCTGACAAACACCGTTAAGACTCTCCAAAGTAGTCTTATGGAAGAGATGAAGGGACTTAAAGCCAATGTCCTCACGAACCATGCTTCCAATGAGAAAGTCCTGAACGATTTCGCGGAAACCTTGCGCATTTACGCGAGAGAGAACCGAGACCTTGCCAGACTCATCTACCGTTTCTTCGAAGAGATAGACGCCATCTGGAAGGTACTCGGAAAGGACAGAACCTCCAACACCGTAATTCGTGAGTACCAAATTGAAGAAGGAATTTTCGAGGAGAGAAACAGAAGAAGAAGAGAAACACGAAGAAGAAGAGGAAGAAAGAGAAACACGAAGAAGAGGAAGTTTGGGCAACCCTTGTTGCCGATGACGCTTACGAAATTTCCCAACCCTACCCATACAAATCCGCAACAAGGAGACAGGCAAGGTTCTTACCCAGTCCTCAACAACTTGGGACACTTGAACCTTAACCTTCGAATCGCGGTTCAATCTCCATGGGCAAGCTTGTCGCAATTCAATGGGTTCCAAATCCAGACAAGAAGACGAGGGTCAGACACATTGACGGTGACAAGCTCAACAACGTAAGGAGAACCTCGAGTGGTTCTAAGAGTAAAAAATTTTATTTTAGGGGGAAACCCCAAGTAAATTTAGGTGTTTATTTGGATAAGTATGTTAATTAAGGTAATTTGCAAATTAGTTCCTGACCTCTGAATTGGACTCTTTCGTCATCCCAGTTGCGTAGGAGGTCGTCCAGAGGAGTTGGTAGAATTGCCAATCCAAGGACGATTTGTCCTCCAGGCATTGAGGATGTACTGCTCGTAGAGTCTCATGACCTCTGCCTTGCACCAGACACCCTCTCCTTGGAACGTAAGGCTTCTTCGAAGTGCTCGAATGCGATTGGCTGCGGGACCATCCGAAATGACACTTTTTGTCCGTTTGGTCAATGTTCGTGTCTCGTGCATAGTCGACGAAAAATACAGACAAACAGGTTATTATGAGTTTGAGACCAAGAATGGTGTAACTCGACCTGTCCGATTCAAAGACTCCGAGGGCGACCATGAATTAAACGGAAATTAGCTAGGAAGGAATATAAAAATTTTTTATTTCATGCAATGTTTTATTTCTGTGCCGTCTTCTTTAACACCCCAGTACTTACGCTTGGAGAGGACATGAACTTCGGTGAAAATTTTGTCAATTTGAATTGACCCATCTTTTCACCGACCATTCCCATTTCAATGAGTTTGTTATAGCCTTCTTCGTTCGTCATGAGTGCGTCGATGTTCTCATAGTAAACCTTGACTTTGGATTTGACTTCGGAGAAGAATTTGTTGTACTCGTCAAGGACTGCTTTTGCGAACTGAGGGTAAGACCAATGTTCGACAATAGGTTTTAATGTGGTTACTAAGCCACTTTCACCTTCGGTAATTCGTATTTCAAACAAAAGGAGAAAACCTTTCAACAAAGTTGTCGACCTTCTCATAATGTTTACTCTTCATCTCTTGAGGTTTTTTAATGGAATACCCCCATGTCGAATTCATAAGCAAT